GGTGAGGTAGTGCATGCTTATAGTCCCAGGTACTTTAGAGGCTGAGGTTGGAGGACCACTTGAGTCCAGGAGTTGAAAACCTGCCTGGGCAACATACCAAAACCCCATCTCAAAAAGGAGGGGCATGGTAATATTCCCCTGTAATCTTAGCACTTGGGAGGAAGAAGTAAAAGGATTGCGAGTTTGAGGACTACTTAGGCAACTTAGCAAGACCTTGTCTCACAAAAATTTTTTTTAAATAAAACTTAAGGCTGGGCATGGTGGCTCACACCTATAATTCCTTCTACTCAGGAGGCAGAAATCAGGAAGATTGCAACTCGAGGCCATCCCAGGCAAAAAGTTAGCAAGATCCCCATCCCAACAAATATATCAGCTATAGTGGTACACACCTGTTTAGAATCCCAGCTAGTGGAAAGTGTAGGTAGGAGGATCCAGGTCTGAGACCAGCCCCAGGCAAAAACATTAGACCCTATTGGGAAAATAAGCAAAAAAGGACTGGGTGGGGGGGTGCTCAAGTGGCCCTGAATTCAAATCCCAGTATCACCAATAAATAAATAAAAATTTTTAGAAAGGGCTGGAGATGTAGCTCAGTGGCAGAGCACTTGCCTAGTGTGCAACACCCTAGGTTCAAGTGCGGGTGTAGCAATACTAACAATACACCTACATACAAATTCAGGCCCATACTGAGATCCAGGGCATTGCTGCTTGTTGCTTCCTTTGGGGCATGTGTGTATCTGTGTGCCTGTCCTTTGTGTTTTTCATGTGTCCCAAGTGTTTAACCCTGATCAGATGCTATTTTTGTAGTCAATAAAAAAACCTAAAGGATGGTGGTTTGGTTGGGGTTTTTGTTTGTTTGCTTGTTTTGGTTTTGGTTTATTTGAAAAAAATATGGAAAGTGCAAAGAAATAAACAGTAATCATATTGTCACCACCCAAAATTAACCACTACTAACATTTGCCTATTTACCTCAGTTGTTTTTCTTCCTGAAAATTAAAATATACATATAATCAACACTACCAAACCATTAACCTTGGTCATCTTCTAGATAGGAAATTATGGCTGCTTTTTTTTTTCTTTTTCCTTTTCTCTTCCTTCCCAATCCCTTTTTCTCTTATGTAAAGGTAAGCAAGACTGTAGACCTAAGAACTGGAGTTAAGCCAGCAGGGGAGGAAGGCCTTCTATTTGGGTGGTGTGGGCATGGCCACATTTCCCTGCACAGTCCAAGTTGTGCTGGTCCTGGACTTGAAAATGTCCCAGTTGGAGACAGGAAATTATAAGGAGTGTCAATCTGAGGGATTAACAAACAGCCACATGGCCAATTCAGGGGAAATGTACTAGGTGGAGGAAAGGAGGACTGAAAGGATGACTGAGATCACATTATAATAACTTGTAGAAAGCTGTTAAATTCCTCCACCAAATCTAGGGCTGGGGCAGGAAAAGATACAGATGAGCCTGGAGCATCTTACAGTTAGAGTAAGGAAGTGCTAAACAGCATGCACACTGATACAGATGTGTCAGCCGGCCACAGGAACCAAGTGAAAGCTGCTAATGGCTGAAACCAAGTCAGTCTGAGAATCAAAGTAACATTGGCTTAGAACCCAAAGTGTAGAAGTCCATATTGACATAACTGATTGACCAAATCATCAAATAAGTCGGTAGGGCCCAGCTACACAGTGGCTTTGTCCTGAAGTGGACAGCTCAGGAAAGTGGAGGAGGATGGGAGAGTACCTTCCCAGTGGAGAAGGACCACGCTCCAGTATTAACCCCTGGCAACAGCATGTGCCCTGAGTGAGATGCCATGGAACTAGCTCTCTGTGTCCTGCTTCCCCAAACTTGCAACCCCATGCTAGTCAGGAGGAAACCATCAGACAAATCTCAGTTGGGGACATTCTATAAAATGTCTCACCAGCACCGCTTAAAATAATCGATGTCCCCCAAAACAAGGAAAGTCTGAGAAATGATCACAGACAAGAGGCACTCACGGAAGAGGACTTAAGGACAGAATGTCGTGGAGACCTAGGTAGGATCTTGGTGTTGAGATAGGACATTAGAGGAAAGCTAAGGAGATGTGAATAAAGCATAGACTTCAATATATTAATATTGGTTCATTAATCGTAACTAATGTATATACTGATGTAAGATATTAATAAGAGGGGGAAACGGTGAGGGATATGGGAATTATCACACTTCACAATTTTTCTATAAATATAAAAGTTTTTAAATAAAAAGCTCATTTTCTACCCGCAGGTAGAGATGCGGGTGATAGGTAGGTGAGTTGAGTGAAAATAATCTGCTGCCATCAGAGGTGACCAGCAGTGGCTACAGCTCTATCTCCACAGCACATAGTCTACACACGGCCCTCCAGTACTTTAAAGCTAGGCTTTTTTTTTTTTGGTGGTGGTGGTGGTGGTGGTGGAGGTTGAACTCAGGGCCTCACACTTGCCAGTCAGGCTCTCTACCACTTGAGCCATGCCCCAGGCTGTCTTTGCTTTATTTTCAGATAGGGTCTCCTGGTTTTTTTTTGCCCAAAGGCCAGCATTGGACTGCAGTTCTCCTACTTGTGCCTACCCATAGCTGGATTAAAGACATGCCACCATGCCCACCTTATTTATTGAGTGGGGTCTCACTAACTCTTTTCCCAGGCTGGCCGTTGACCTGCTATCCTCTCTGTCTCCTCCTGAGTATCTGGGATTACAGGCGTGAGCCACCTTATCCAGCCAAGACTAGCACTTTAATCAAATGCATATAACAAATGCCACATGAAAATACAATTGAACTGTGAATGACAGAGAGCAGACTGAGCCAGAAATCAACATCCCTGGTGGCTTGTTCCTCGTTCCTGGTTCTCTTGTGAATCAGCAGTGACCCTGGGCTAGTCATTGAACTTCTGGGGATCTGCTTCCTTATCTACAGAATGAGAGGGTTGAACTGGAAAAAAATTTTTTCTGTAATGACCTGAAGTTCTAAAAATACTGTGGTTCTAAATTAAGGTTTAGAATGAGGTATGGCACTACAGCCAATTGAAGTTAAGTGCCGGCTCTTGCACTCTTGACCTTCTATACCAGACCGCTAGGCCACTCGGAGAAGTTTTTGGGATTCTCATCCTGCTCCCTGCATGGGATGGAGAGTCCACATAGATAAGTGGAGGGTACCAAATATTCCAACTCCTGCGTTTCCTACGTAAAGAAATGGGGCTCCAGAGGGGCTGATTTGTTCAAACGACAAGGCTGACAGAGCAACAGAGACCAGGTTTTCTGCTTCCTGTTGGAAGTTTTACGCTGCAGCGTGCTTGCCTCGGAACAAGTGTCTGCTCTGCAGTGCCACCAGGACCTCATTTGCATTATTTCCGAAGTGGTCCTCCAGGGCAGTCATTCACCAGCAGTCACCTCCAATCCCTGATCATGGGGAAAGGAATGAGGCTGCACCTGTGACCCTTTCCTCTTTAGATCTGGGAATGGGAAACAGCAATTTCATTTTTCCCTTTTCACTTCCCAAGCTTACCTTTCCCCCTGGTAATTATACAGCCAAGATGCTTTGTTTGCAGAAGCCATGTGACTCAGCCAGCCCCCACCCCAAGGGTTAACACTCCCAAATTATGGGGCTGGGTTAACAATAAACAGGATGTCCTCCAGAAATTAAATTTAAACCACTGTGACTCAGGCTGTCCATCCCCCCTACCAGCTCGCTGTCTGGGGTTATTATCGGTGGTTAATTATACCGTTGAGTTTAGCAACAGTGTTGGTCAGTTTGGGCCAAATGGAAGCAGGCTGGGAGAAGGGAAGGAGGATGGGGGGACTGGGGCCTGTGGAGTGAGTTGGGACAGTGTTGGCACCAGGTGGTTTGGATGAAGAGCTGAGCGACTGGTAAGAGAGGCTGGCTTCAAGCTGCTTCCCTCAGCTGATCCCAGGGCTCAGTTCCTACTGAGGGCAGGACATGGGTGCAGCACTACTGTTCGTGTTGCTACTGGGATGCACTATGTTGGCTTTCTTGCCTGGCCATGGTTCTTTTCTTCTAAGGACTATAGAATCATAGAATTTCCCGTGGCTGGAGGAAACCTCTAAATTACCTAGTTTAATCCAGTCATTTTGCAGAATAAGAGGGAAAGTCTCAGCACAGCAGTTAGCTGCAAAGGACAACATGGTTAAGTAGGTTAGAGGCTAGGCTGGTGCTCAACTTCCCAGGCCTGGTCCCTTGGTCTTCCTTCTGTTCACCCAGACCTCTTCCAGGTTAAAGTGGGGAATCTGAGGCACAGAGTTCCTTAGCAAGTTCAAGGCAGACCCAGTCTGGATGGCAGATTCTTCTCCCAGTGAGCTACATTGGATTTTGTTAGCTCTCCCAAGAAAATAACACAGCTTAGCCAGTCATTAAGGCCCTTGAAATGCGTCATCTCTCTTCAGTATCCCAAGAAGTCCCACAGAGCCACAGTTTGTCCCCCTACAGAGAAACTGTGAAACACCTCATAAAGAAGATGAGTGATTTTTTTGTGGGTCTATAAAGGCATGTTCTGAGAATGATAGCTGTTAAAATGAACCTGAATTTCTTGCTTTGCAGTTCCTCAGGACTCAAGGACTATAGTGATGCTTCTGGTCTCTCCTTTTCCTGCCCTTACTTTTTCAGTGTATTTTAAAGTGACAGACCATGAGGAAAGATGCTCTGGGAAGGAGGTGGTACCCAAGAGCCTCTGGGGGGCTGGCACTGTGGCTCAAGTGGTAGAGCACCTGCCTAGTAAGCTCAAGGCCCCGAGTTCAAACCCCAGTCTGCCAAAATAAGTTTTTCAAAGTTGCCAAGTCTCCCAAGAGCCTGTGTGGGAGGACTTGTCTCCCATAACCGAGCTGGGTGCTGATGGTCTTATGCCCATCAGTGCTTGAGAGTCTAAATACCAAGTAGGGAGCCTCTGCCACACCTCACTCTCCTGGGGCAGAAGGGCCATACAGCACCCATTCTTTCAGACAGTTCTTCCCCATTTCTCACAGTGTCCCTTTTGTCTCTCCCTCTTACAGGATTCCTTTCAAGATTGGGCAGCCCAAGAAACAGATTGTTCCCAAAACAGTGAGTAACCCAGTTCTTTTGCTCTGAGACTCAGTTCCGTCTCACATGGCCTCTCACAGAACCAGCTTTGACTCAGCATGTCTTGGGGCTGGGAAGACAACAACCTGGGCTTTATTCCCAATTGTATAGATCTAGAGCCTGGGGGCACAGAGGCCTCCTGCCCTGGGTCCTTTGGGTTCTTCCTACCCTTGGGCAGGTGGAAGAGGTGGTTTACAAGGCATAGAGGAAGGCTCTGCCTCTGAGCAGTCCTGTTCCTAAGAGGGATCCTGGAAATACAGATCCCCTCCAAAGACATGGCCCAGGTCCCTTTGTACTGCCAAATGTTTCTCTTCCATGATCCTGAATTGCTCAGCAGGAGGGGATGTTATCTCTTACCTGATTTTTTTTTTTTAATGGTACTGGGGTTTGAACTCAGGGCCTACACCTTGAGCCACTCTACCGGCTCTTTTTGGTGATTTTTTTTTCTGAGATTGGGTCTCGCAAACTATTTGCCAAGACTGGCTTTGAACCATGATCCTCCTGGTCTCTGCCTCCTGAGTAGCTAGGATTACAGGCATGAGCCACCAGCACCCGGCCCTGCGTTTTGAATCCATAATATTTATCCCTATTTTGTCTCCAGAATGGAAGGTAAAAGTCACAGATTCGTAGAAGGATAGAACTAGAAGCCCATAGAACGCATCTGGTTCCACAACCTGATTTTTCCTGATGAGAAAACAAGGCCCCTAAGCTGGTATTAATTTTCTAGTCTGAAAATCTCCCACTGGCAGAGCTAGAATTAGGACTCTGGTCTGAGCCTCTAGTCAGTTCTCTTTTTGTGCTTTGTGCTACCTCCAACTGTGAAGATCTCTGAGAAATTTGCCTACAGAGTAGCCTTTTAAGCCCCTCCCCACAAATCTGAGTGCATCCCTGGTTTGTTTGTTTTTTAAAAATTAGGATATATTCATTGTGACAATTCCAAACAGGGTTATATTGTTCTTTGGTTAGATCACTGCCACCATTTCTCCCCATCAGCTCCCTCCCCACCTCACTTAAAGCAATTGCAAGAGGTTTCTTAGTCCTGGGTTGTAACATAAGTGACCATACTGAAGAGCCTCTCTCTCATGATGGCTACAGAAGTCCAGCACTGTTCACATGGTAGAGGTCTTTGTCTCCATCATCCCAGCCTCTGACAGTCTTCCTTGTCTTTTCTGATTTCTTCCTTCCTTGCCTCAGCTCTCAGAACTACAGGAAAGATATTGCTTGCTTCAATTTGGCGGAAAGTTCAGCACACATCTGATCAGTGCCTCAGTCTTTGGGAAATCCAAAGTGAGATCACTTAAAAGGAACTGGGCCTGAGTTAAAAGAGTCTTCCCCTGTTTCATGCAAAGGCAGGCTGCTGACAGACCAAGCGTCACCTCCCATGCAAGGGCTGACCATCTGCAGAGGCTCTCAGCTGACACCCAGAGAACCTGGGTGTGCAAATGCTGGGCTTCAGCCAGCTCCAGGAAGTGGGATGGTGTGGCTTTGAGCCCCCATTGTTTAATCCCCTGCAGATCCAAAGGGGAAGTGGTTTTGAGAAGGGTCTTTATTCCTGTCGTTCACTACAGAAAAAAAAGAAAAAAGTTAGAAGAAAACCCCTCCCACAACTCCAACCTTCATTGAGTGTAGTATAGACTAGAATGCAGCCTCCAGCTGTTCACTGGAGTTTTGTCAGAAAGATCCTGGGTTCTTTACTCCAAGAAGTGGCAAGGACTCCCAGGGAAGAGTAGATGGACATGACTTCCCTCTCCCTGTTCCATGTCTGTCTGTGCGATGGAATCATAGTCCTCTAGTCCGTGGCATCAGCTCTCATAAGCAGGCCAGGTATCAGGGAGTGATTAAGGAACCAGGTTTGGGAGGCTCACAGTCTGGATTCCTATCCTGGCTCTGTCACACACCATCTGTGACCTTAGGCATATGCCACAGCCTCTCCACATCTTAGCTCTTAGCTTTCACGTGTAAGATGAGGGTGACCAAAGTACCCACGTCACAGGTGTAGAAAGAGTCTCATATACAGCAATGAATATGAGGCACTTAATCCAGTGTTGGACCCATAAGTCTCGGTGACCACCACTACATTGGGAAGTTAGCTGATTTGACTCCCTCCACAGCCATTAAGGACTTGGCCTCACCCAGCAGCTCAATTCCCCAGTGCATTGAAGTTGGAAGCTGGGCCTTTGATCTCTCCCCAGGAATCAAAGCCAAGGTACAGCTTGGAATAGAGTTGTTTGCCTGCTCTGCCTATCCTCAACTCCCCTGGGTGCTGAAATAGAGGCAGTAAGATCCTGCCTCAGAATTGGTTCTCCCCATGACCCAGGCCCCAGAACAAGCCTGGGTATGTGGTTGTCTCAGCATCTTTGGCAGCTGGCCCCAGATGGCGGTGACACTGTCTAGTATTCCTGCCCAGGTGCTGTCAGGGAGGGGAGCAGATGTGGCCACCGGGTTATTGGAAGTCATGATGACCCTGTCATGGGAAGAAATGCTCATGTTATCTTCAGGGAGTTTCAGGAGGTTTTGGCTCAAGGCATCCAGCTGCCAGCCACAAAGGAAGCATTGTGTCTTTGCTCTCACTTCTCACCTGTGCCCAGGTTGCAAACGTACATTCCACTATTGTTGAGGCTGTGTCTGGAATGGCATGTTCTCTGCAGAGTCTCACCATTGGCACTGAAACGGAAGAACAGAAGCTCCCCACTCCCCAGTCCAAACCTTCTGCTTAGACCCCTCTAGACCCCCCAAGTCCCATAAAGCAGCCAAAGCATCTTGATATGGAGAAAAGAGCCACACCTCCCTGTGTAACCTGGGAGGCTGGAGGAGCTCTTTGCAGCATTGCTTTCCATGCCCCTCCAAGCAAGGGTTACCCAAGTCTTGTGCACAAAGGAAAGCAACTGCCAAGATTGCTAGCTAAGTAGGTACCCTGCAAAGTCAAGGCAAGAAAGGGTGGCCGTGCTGAGCCTCTCCAGTTGAAAAAAGACTCAGATGCCAAGTAGAGGAACCTTCAGCCTCCCCAGCACGCCTTAATCTTGGAGTATACTGAAGGGAGGTGGCTGTCTTCCCAGAGCATCCCTTGAAGAGGGGTTGTCAGAATGCTCCCTCCACCTGGCTCAGATCTACCATGCCTTAGCCCTGGTCCTACCTGTGGCCTCCTTTCTTACTTCACCATGAATTTTAAGATTGAAAGGGACTCAGCCTGCTCATTATTTAGCAAATACTGAGTCCTGCCATGTGCCAGGGCTGGCCTGGGCACTAAAGCTAGAGCAGCAAATGGCATTTCCTTCCCTTGCACCCTGAGCTCCAGAGAATGCAGTGAGCAGCCAAGGGCAGGCGTCTGGGGCTCCATTCTCCCTGTGCTAACCTCATCAGCCTGGCCCCATCCTGTCTGATCCCTTGACAGTCCATGAACATGTGTTTACACTTGCATTGTTGACTGGGCTCCAGTCGCCTTCTTGGCAAAGGCATCAAGCATTCAAAGATGTTCAGATCTTTTGCACTTGGCTCTTTCCTTTGGAAGGCATATACTTCAGAATATGACTCCAGTGTGTTTCTTTACTCTCTTAGCCTTTATCTAAGGCACTGTAATTCTGGTGCTGCCCTCAGCAGATCTTTCTCTGTGGAAGGAGATCTGAGAGCAGCGAACTACAGAAGCAACCCACCTGGCTCCTGGAAGCCAGGGAGGTGCAATACTTACAAGTTCCTCCTAGGCTGTCAGGTGGCCTGGAATGGTGTCCAACAGAAGAATCATGCCTCTGTTCCCAGTGAGACACAGCCGAGTTTCTCATCACCCACAATGATCCTGGGTTGGAAACCTGAAGTCCCTTTCTGTGCAAGTCTAAGCAGTCCCCAGCCAGGAAGACCAGGTGTTCTCTGACATCCCACACACAGCAGCACAGTGGGCATTGCAACAGAGGGGACTGAGAGCCAAAGGCAGTGGTGGGGCGGTGGGAGAGGGGGGACCCTTCCCCCAGCAAGACCTATGGTGCACCCTTTATCTCTAGAAGAGCTTGACTCTGGGCAAGAAATAGTTTTTATTTCATCCACTTGGAAATAAATGCCTTTCATTATGTTAAGACACCATTCAGGGCTGGTGGAGTGGCCCAAGTAATAGAGTGCCTGGCTAGCAAGCATAAAAGCCCTGAGTTCAAACCCCAGTACCACAAAAAAAAAAAAAAAAAAAAAACCATTCAGCTGCCATAGCCTCTGAGGTAAGAGGGAGCCACAGCCCTGCCATAGCACTAAGGCACAGTGCTCCACACTCAGCAGCCAGTTTTCTGGCTGAGTATTTGGGGATGCTTCACTCTGTTAAAGGGTCGCCAGCCCAGACAGCTGTGGCTTCTACTGCCCAGTGAGCAGGAGAGAAAGACAGACATCTACTCACTCAGTAAGTGCCACTGTGGACCAGGCACCTGGCATTGCTCTCTATATGCACTGCCTCTGAGCAGACATGCTGCTGAGGCCTGCTGTGTCCTCTGTTTCCAGTTTACTTAGGGAATTACTAAGTGCAGTACCCCACTTTAACAGAAAAGAAAGTAGGACTCAAAAATGTTAGGAAATATTTTTAAGGCTCCACAGTTAGTATCAGAGTTGATATCTTATCTGTCTCTGCCTGTTCCTCCAAATCACCATTGTCCTCTAACACCCAAGTGCAAACCCCTTCACTCCAGAACAAATCTCCCTCCTGCAGTTGCACATGTGACCTTACTCCGTCCATCCCGACCGCAGCAGCAGGCCAGCCTGGCCCATGAGGAGCCTGAGACTGAATAGAGAGGTGACCTGCTCAGATCCCACAGCTGCTACACAGCAGAGCCAGTCCTAAACTCCAGACCCACCTCTTCCTCTGTGCCCTGCTGCCTCACTGGATGGGTTGCAGCCACATTCCAAGCATCTTGACTGCCACCATAGTTGGTTGAGGAGAGAGCACCTAGCCCAGAGCCTTACTCCCTGCAGTGGCAGAGCAGAGCCACAGTCAGCTGCTATGACTTGCCCAGTTGGCCTCTCTGGGAGGGAGGCCTTCTCCCCAAGTCAAATACTTCATTAACTTGGGAACACAGGGGTACTGTATCGTTAATGACCTGCTGGAGCATGTGTGAACTGGACGGTGTTGTTTTCTGCAGGCTGGGGAAGGGTGTGGAGGGAGTTTCAGTAGGCTGGGAGATTTTTTCCACCATGTTGTCATTACTCTGTTGATTGAGTTATCTTTTGTTACAGGTGGAGAGAGACTTTGAAAGGGAGTATGGAAAACTCCAGCAGTAAGTGTCACATCCCTGAAGGATGAGGTGGGAAAGGTCCCTGCCTTTCCCCTGCCTCCTGCCAGATCTCACTCCCACCCTGCCTCATCTCTCCAGGTCCCACACAGGGGCTGCACATCAGCCTGTGAGCACCTGGGGACAGAGGGCAGCCCAAGTCACCGGGCTGCCTTTCTCCCTTGACAGGTGGCTGTGCAAAGGTTAACAAGTAGCTCTGGGTGCTTAGCCTACTACAGAGCCTTCATGGTGCTGCAATCCGCAGGAAGGGTCTCATGAACAGGGCCCTCCCTCACTGTGGGTATCCCAGCCTCACAGCCTGGGCCTACCTCACAGGGGAGCAGGGGCCAAGTTCAGTGAGGACAGGTGCCCATGCCTTCCCCTTCCTTGCAGGCTGGAAGAACAGACCAGGCGGCTGCAGAAAGATATGAAGAAGAGCACCGATGCTGACCTGGGTAGGTAGCCCTACCCTGCAACTGGTGTGGTGGGTGGGAGCTGGGGACACCCTCCCTCCTCAGCCTCTCAAGAGCTGACTCAAAATCACCACACTTGGAAAACACCAAATGGTGTTCCTGAGAGGTGGCTGGGGTCATTCCTCCCTGGTCATATCACCATGTCCTACAAAGCTCTTGCCACCCTACTCTGCAAGTGCACCCCTGGGAGTTCAGTCAGAACAGTACTGTGACCAGTGGAAGCAGTGTATCCCCTCCTGGCTTTCCAGTAGTGACAGAGCTCCGGCTAAGGTGTAGGATTAGAAATACCTTAGGATTGTTCTGTCATTATGAGGGGTACTGGAAGGTGTGTGGAGAGAGGTAACAGGGTTGGCTGGAGAGGTCTTGTTTGAAATGAGGAGGAACGTAGACACAACAGCAGTTTTGAAGTCAGGGAACACAAGGGGCCATGTCTCTAGGCTGTGACCCCAGGAGGCAGTGGGCAGCTGGAACAGTGGAGAGCTGTCCCAGCCAAAATACCCAGCCCTCTCCTAACAATCAGTCTCTAACTCCACACTGCTTGGCAACCTTGGACAATGCTAAACTTCCTGTGCTTTGTCTAGGAAATACCACAGCTACTGGTCCCCAAGCCCCTGACTGGCTGTGATAGTGCAGTCTTTAGATGATGTAAAGCACTGAGAGTCAGCATTCAGTGAGGTCAGCTTGCATTTCCTTTGTCATCAGCACTGGCAGCCAAGGCAGCAAGGCTCCCTGCTAGGTGGACCTCAGAGGCACCTCCTTAGGTTCCATTGGGAGGGATGCATCTGCATGTCTGGGTGTGACTTTAGAATTGGTACCTGAGAGAGATGGGTTTGACTAGGGCCACCCACTTTCTCTCATTTGACAAATACTGACTGAGAACCAATTTATGCCAAGCTTATGCATCAGTGCTGGGGATTGCACAGTGAAACAAGGCAGAAGCCTCCATTCTAGGAGGAAAGATGTGCAAGACATCAATAAATGTGCAGTGGCAAGTGCTATGAAGAAAAATAAGGAGATGGAACCAGGCATGGTGGAGCATGCTTATAATCCAAGCACTCGAGATGCTAAGGCAGTAAGCTCATGGGTTTGAGGGTACCCTGGGTTACATAGGAGAGTCTGTCTTTAAAAAAGGAGAGGGGATGGAGAGTGCTTTATGTGTTTCTGTCTTTATTGCTGCCCACTGCCTCCTAGCAAGGAAGTTGCCGTCACCTGCTGCTTCTTCCCCTTCCTTCTCAGACAGCTGCAGTATCAGAGAGGAATGAAGTGCAGGCTGTTGTTTCATAGTGAGTTGTTCTGGAACCAACTAGATGTCAGGGACCCATGAGGAGGAGACTGTGGCTCTGGAAAGCATGGTTTTACAACAGAAAAGCATGACTCCTGGAGCCTGCATCTCCGGCCCCAGAGTGAGGAGCAGAGTGGGCACAGAAGCACTTCTAAAGATGGCTTCCTCACCGAACACAGGCCTGCACCAAGAGTCTCTCACACAATGATGGCGTCAGAATCACCGTAGGCTTGTGGCAGTGCAGGACACCAGCCCCAGTCCCAGCTCTCTGTTTCATCAGTTCCTGGGCAAGGCCTGGAAATGTGTCTCTCACACATAGAGCAAGGAACCATGATCTCTGCACAGGAACACAAGGCAGGTACCCCAGTTCTGCTGAGACAGTGGCCTGAACATAGTTCATTGACTGTATGTGGTTTCAGTGAAAAAGGCCTGAGAATGTGAGGGTGTTAGGAGAGGAAAAGAGATGTGGAAAGAAAGCCTTCCCCCATCCTATGACTATTGGGATTTTTTTTTTCTTCAAATATAAAAAAAAAAAAGTAGAAATGTTTCCAGCTTTATCCAGGTTTTTATCTTTTGACTATGCTATATGTGATCATAATCAATTTATACATAATGTTGGTTCCTAAACCTACAAAGTCACTTCACAGATTTTAAAGTATCTCTTCCTCCATTACCTCAATATTTCTGGCAAGTTTGCATTCCTGGTCTTCCCCCACAGGTTGTCCTTTTTTGCTGGGTGACTGCCACGCCTTCCAAGCTTCCAGAGTTACCCAGGACGGTGCTCAGGGCAGGCCAGGTGGCACTCAGCCTCTTGGCTGGTTTGTGGCTGTAGTCATATCTAGAACCCTCTTACAGGGCTTGGGTTTCTTCTCACGTACCATGGAGGCCCTTCCTCAGGAGGCAGGGCTGGGCTTAGCACTGCTTGCTCCTCACACCTGTAAGCAGGAGGTTGGCCTTACTTCATCAATTCTAGGCACTTTTTCACATTTAACACCTCTGAAGTCATAGGGCTATAACAGTTGAGAGTGGTTTGATTGACAGCATTTTTTTTTCTTTCCTCATAGTTTACATATAACACTGTGCTTAAAACCAATAGTTTTAAATTCAGTGACATACAAGTATTTTTAAAAAATACATTCAGCTGGAGATGTAGCTCAGTGGTTGATTGTTTGCCTAGCATGCACAAGGCTCTGGGTTCAATCCCCAGTACCGTAAAAATTGAATGAATAAATGAATAAATAAATAAATTCAAAACCTGCCTTAACCAGGCGCTGGTGGCTCACACGTATAATCCTAGCTACTTAGGACCTGACTGAGATCAGGACGCCAGCCCGTGCAAATAGTTCCTGAGACCCCACCTCTAAAATAACCAGGGGAAAATGGACTGGAGCGTGACTCAAGCAGTAGAGTGCCTGCTTTGCAAGCATAAAGCCCTGAGTTCAAACCCCAGTTCCACCATTTAAAAAAAAAAAAACAAAACTGTCTTCTGTCCTGAGACTCAGTCACCCACACTCTGAAACTGTCATGGACAGTGTTGAACGAGCCTGGCCCTACTCCAGTCCCTCTTCCATCCCCTCTAGAATTTTACCCGCAAATAATGGAGACTGGAAAACAAGTATGGACTGAACCCTAAAGCCACCAACAGGTTTCCATCCTTGTTTGAGCTGCTTTATGATTTCCAGGCTCCCATATGGCCCACAAACCCTTTACCTTCTGTCCCTTTACAATAAGTGGGCTACCCCTGGTAGAAAGTAGAGTGCTGTTCCTCTGTAAACAAGAGTATCCTGACCAACCCTCAGTGGACATACCACCCAAAGAGGGTTTTATAATGCAGATTCTTGGGTTCCAGATTTGTTGAATTAGAATCTGTGGAGTCAGAGATACTGGTTTTGTAGCTTCCTATCCAGATGAGCCTAGTAGAATCTAGAATTTGGAAACTTACCATTGCAACTCATGAAGCTGCCTGAAAGAACTCCCCAGTGCAGTGTTAGATGGTCAGGAATGATGTTAAACACTACAGAGCAGCACATGTGGCTCTGTGGAACTAACTTGCTCTGATAGTCATTGCATAGAAATAGGTGGTTGGGTCAGGCCCCTGGGGCAGTGGAGGGCAGGGAACACTGAAGAGAAGTCCTTGAACCTGTTCCTTTTTATGTTCATTGAGCTTTGACTTTGACTTCCTGTAGCTATGTCAAAATCTGCCATGAAGATATCCCTGGACTTACTCTCCAATCCTCTCTGTGAGCAAGACCAGGACTTTTTGAGCATGGTAACAGCCCTTGACACAGCTATGAAACGAATGGATGCCTTCAACCAGGAAAAGGTAACTAGGTCTTGGTCTCTGGCAGCCAAGTGCTACCTCCTCCTCCCCTCTGCAAGCTTCTGTCTGGACACAGTATCATGGGCAGATTTCATAGGGACTGTAGCTTCTCCTCAGTGCTCTGAGGCCTGTGTGTAAACCTACTCACACCTTTTCTTATCAGCTTCCTCACACTCTGAGAGGTATATCCCTGCTATGAGACTATGATGGTGCTCACAGGCGCTCTGATCACCACTGAGTCACCCACCCAGCTCTCCATGCTGAGCAAGGCCACCACAAACCTTGGCCACAGCACTGGCAAGACAAGCCTGACCTGGGACCAGGCCTGACCTGCCAACCTCCTGGTTGTCTTCTCTTCCTCCTTCAGTTGCAGAGTTAGGGTGCCACCCTGCGTTTTCCACCTCCGTACCCTCCTGCCCTAGCTGTAGGGTGCCCTACCAGGACTGTTTGTCTTCTGAGGAACCTATGCCCCCTCCTTTTAAGAAGAGTCTGTCTCCCCCAGCTTTGATGCCATTGGGGTTTATTTTACCCCCTTTGATGGCACTAGGATTTGAACTCAGGGCTTTGTGCTTGCAAGGCCTGTGCTCTACCACTTGAGCCACACCTCCAGCTGGATTTTCTTTTGACAGGTGAACCAGATCCAAAAGACGGTGATCGAACCCTTGAAAAAGTGAGTAAAGTCATCCAGGGATACAGGCTTCAGAGCACTTCTGGCAAAGGCAGGTCAGCTGGCCACGTGAGGACCAGGCTTGTCCCTAGCTTCTCATAGGGACAGGTGGGAAACAACAGGGACACCAGTTGAGGCTCCTAGTAGCTCCAGAGCAACACCTCTGCAGTGCAGTGCACTCTGTGACAGCACCGGACTCTGCTCTGGTGGTCATTTGGCCCTTTCCCCTTTGCTCATAGCTGGGCCTCGTGGGGCCTGGGCTGTCTGAAATCAGCTAGTGGGGATCTTGGCAACCCCTCAGCGGACATGAGCAAAGCCTTTCATCTCGCAGCCAGGCTGGCACACAGCTGCCTACAGCACTCGGCTTTAGAAACATGGGGGTGGCCGCACACAGGGAAGGTGCAGCAGTGTCGTCCTTCCTGGGAAGGTCCCCTCACTCATGACCTTGAGGGCCAGGAATTCTGTGAGGCTCATCTTTGGTCTGGCAGGGCCCAACCAGTGATCAGACAAGCCTGTTCTCTGGGTCCCAGTGGAGAAGAGGCTGGCTGAAGCCTTGCCTTGAAGCTCCTGAATCCTTCTCCCAGCCTCCTCTCTGACCTAGAAAGTCTCCCACTCCAGCCCAGCAGCTGCACTTTATTACCTCTTCTGTGGTGGTCCCTGGCAGTCATCTTGCCAGGGCTGGGTAATGAGGCTCTCCTTCATTATCATTAGGCCCGGATCGGCCCGGAGGGAAATGGAGAGTGTTTTTTGATCCTCTAGCCCCTGGTGTTGGGGTGTTGACCTGTTCTCCCCCTGTTCAGGTCCAAGGGGTGGGGTTAGGAAAATCCCTCTCAGCCTCATCAGAGCTTCTTCCGATGCTGGACCTGCAAACTCTACAACTAGACAACTGCAAGGCCAAGCCTGGTGCAGGGCTTCTCCACACCATTCCCCTGCCTCTTTGCCCTGCTACTCCAGCCTCCCCAGCATGGGTTCCACCACCCTCTGCCTCCCAGTCAAGTCTCAACCCCACATCACAGGGCACATGGGGAGCTGGGTGCAGAATGAGCCCAACTGCTTATGGCTTTTGGGCCTGGTCTCCAGGACAGAAGCTCAGAGCCAGGTGGAAGGAACACAAGGCAAAACAGATCCTGCCCCACAGAGGCCTCCGGTGTTCTGGGGCCTCCAGGGTCCCAGAGGCAGCCACAGGCACCCAGGGCTGGCAAAGCAAGGCAGAAGCACCAGCTCAGAGAACTGGAGAGGGTTGACTCCCGTCTCGATTTCACAACCAACGAGGCGGCATTGAAATCAGATCCCTGTCTTCTGCAGCCAAGTGCAGAGAAACCCCGGCTGCTTCCTACCATGCTTGCAGCCCACCACCTGCCAGGAAGGTGGGGGCGTGGCAGGGGGGAGGCCACCATCTCCGCTGCAGATCCGCTGACCTCCGCATGAGCCTCAGGCCTGCCTGCTGCCCTGGCTAACTTCTGCCTGCATCCCGCAGCCAGCATGCAATCTCCTGACCGCATAAACCACCACTGCCTGTCGCCTCCTCCCTTCTTGCTTCCTTGTGCCAGGAGAGAAGCTCCCAGGGACCCCAGCACCGGAAACAGGAACCTGCAGCTTTCCTGTCCTCTGGTGAAGATCATGGCCACTTTGCCGCCCCCAGCCTGCCCCTCAGGGGGCTCGGCCTCTAATCCCAAGTCCCGGGGTCTATTCACATGTCAGATGGGGATGCTTTCAATTTCCCTTTCCTGGTGGGTGGAAGATCCCGGCTGCGTGGGCACAGATGAGGAATGGCAGGCATTCCCCACCAGGCCGGCTGCTCCCAGCCCACCTCACAGCCGGCCTCATTTCTTCCCCACTCCCTCTTCACCCCACACTTTCCCCCCATCCTAGGGAGCTAGATTGGTATTGAACCTTAGGCCAGACAAGAGATGGATAGCCTCGTGGGTCGAGCTTCCATGAAGGCCTGGGTGTGGGCCCAGCCTCTCCTCCCTTCGCAGAAAATGTGAATCAAAGGTCAGCAGCTCACAACCTGGGAGGGCAGTCACAGGCCTTCACAAAAGGAGACCCAGGTGTGCTCATTTCCACCAGGAGCAGGGAGGTGGCCCACCCTTGCCAGCCTTCTGTGGCCTCTGGCTTTGATGGAGGGTGCTGTTGTGGGAGAAGTTCTCGTAGGGAAGACCTGGTGTTCCCAAGGGCCAGATGCCACTAGCAGAGCAGTGGGATCAGTTCCCACTACAGCTGCCTCCTCCTGCACAGGACAAGTTGGCCTTGGTTCCACTGTGACACCACCCATTCCCCAAGGCTGTCACCTGATCCATGCCTGCCTTGTCCTTCTAGCTCTGCCCTTTCCCCTGCACTTGGGTTGCTGTGTCTTTTGTAGGCTGACTAGGTCCCTCCACTTAGCACTTCTGGAGAAGATGGCAGCATGGAAAGGGGTTGGGATGATGGACAAAGGTACATGTGCTGCTGAGGCCAGCAGGTATCCAGGACTGCCTGACCAACTAGCACAATGCTAAACCTATCTTGCAACTTAGAATGCACCTCACACTCACTGCTTTGTTCCTTGTGATGCCCTTTCCCAGGGAGAGGAGGTCAGCTTCAAGAGACGAGATTACAACCAGGGCAAGACAGTGCTCCCTGCTGTCTCCTGCCTATCTCATTTTTGCTCAGTCCCTGTTCCTGCAGCCTCCCAGTGCCTCCCAGATACTGGGCCATCCAAGCAGCAGGTCGCTTCTGACAAGAGAATCAGGCAGCTGCTGGGGGCCCCTTGCTCCCTTGGGGTTGAGGGAGGGACAGCATGGTAGCTTCTCAGGCCCAACACACCTGTTCCCCTGAGCCACACACCACTCAGCTGCCCAGGAAGGGAGAGGAGCTCCTGGAGCAGCTGGAGCTCCATCCCACAGCTGCCTTGGACAAAAGCAATGAGACTGGCTCCTCCCAGGGGCGTCTTGCCTTAACACTCCTCCATGGGCACCATGTCCTAATGATGTCTGGTCTCCACATCCAGTTTGCATGGCACTGAGTCAACAAAGCACTAAATCAAATACTGGTTTGATGAGTATAAATAAGAGCATGCAGCTAGGAGTCAGAGAAATTCTGAAAGTCTCAGCCCTTTAGCATTCTCAGGTAGTGAGCCTGTCATGGACACTGTTAAGTTAGAAGGATTGGTTTTAGTGACTTTGAGGATAAGCCCCTTGTTTCACCATAATCTCCCCATGTCTGTAGGCTTCATTACGGGCATTTAATGTTGGTCAAGCTTATATTCTCTATTCTCTGGCAAAAAGTATCCATTACTCTCATCTCTGATTTGTTGAGGCTTTTAAATATAAAATTCATTGTCATGTGCCTGTGAGAGGCAGACTTGAGGGTCATGCTTCCTGTGGTGTCTGAACTTCCTAAAGACATCCCGGGACTAGCCAGGTACCCTCTCCATTCCAATGTGTGTGAAAGGCTGACCTCAGCCACTGACTGGGATCCCAGTGAGAAGAATCCTGACCCCTGACTTCTTCCTGCCTGGTCTTTCATCTTCTCTGGCTTCCTCTGGCACAAGCCACCTCTTCTGGTCCTGGGTCACCAGCTCTGCCTCTCCAACCTAGGGATCAGAACCATCAAGTCAGTCCTTGCATGGCCAGGTCTCATCAGACCCCCAGGGCTCCCTGTTGGTGTGGTGGATGCCTCCTGTGGAGGACCACACCCTTCAGTGGTACCGAGGCTACCTACTGCAGCTCAGGGTTTCACATTCAAGGAACTGGCCCGATGTTCTAAGTAGACACTCTACTACTTTAGCCATTCCACCAGCCCTTGCCCTGTGTTCTGTTCATTTCTGGGAAAATCTGCTTGCAGGGTTGTTTCAGCTCCTCCACCCTCATGTCTTTCAAGGAGAATGCACATTGCTCCCTGGGATATCACTACTGCCCTTTGTGGTTAAAGATAGCACTCGGCTGAGTGCAGTGGTACATTCCTATAGTCCCAGCACTCGGGAGGCTGAGGCAGGACAATCAAGAGTTAAGATAGATAGCAAAACCCTGTTTGAAAAACACCAAAAAAAAAAAAAGAAAAAGAAAAAGATGGCACTAGTCACCATGGTTATGCTCATACTGCCCAAATTCTGCACTACTGCTCTTTGAAAATACTGCTCTTTCTGAACGGTGCACTGCTGAGCAGTCCCCATCACACCATCACAGTCCCTTTTAGTCATGTGGGGTAGAAGGAGGTCCTCGAGTCACTTTCCTAAAACGGCCAGTCGTTGGTTTGCCCTTTCAGTGGTAGAACCCCAGTATTTCTGCTTTTCCCACACTGTGAAGGCAGCCTGAGCCAGGAGTAGCCATTGTTACCTGCCAGTGGCACTGGTAGAAAGGGTGCCAAAGAACTGGGAGACTCAGGTTCTCTTCTGGACTACCTCTGCCTGATTGTGACCACAGGCAGGTCTCATGTCATCTCCCTGGCCTTAGGTTCTCCCAGTTTTGTTTGTGGTACTGGGGTTTGAACTTAGGGCCTACAGCTTGAGCCACTCTACCTTTTTTGTGATGTTTTTTTTTTTCAGGATAGGGTCTCACGAACTATTTCCCCAGGATGGCTTTGAACTTCGATCCTCCTGATCTCTGCCTCCTCATTAGCTAGGATTACAGGCGTGAGCCACCAGTGCCCGGCCTTTCCCAGCTCTAACATGAGGATGTTGGGCAGGTGACTTCAGAGCAGTGTCCCAGCCCTGCTCTTCTCCAGTGCAGGGCTCTGTGGTACAGTGAGGCTCAGAGGGTTGGGCAGAGAGGCAGCAGGAGGACAAGTGACATCATTCGTTCACGACTCACCCGTGGTATTCAGGTTCAGTGGAGCAGCCCTCAACCCTGTCTGACTCTGCCCCGACATCATCAGCACAAGCTCCAGCACCTCATGGGGCTAGGGCTAGGTGGTAGGTGGCCCACAGACTTGAGTGAATGGTGAACCACTTGACTGCCCCGCCCCCCAATGGGCCTGCATTCACCGAGGATGTTCCCTGCAGGTTTGGCAGTGTCTTCCCGAGCCTCAACATGGCAGTGAAGCGGCGGGAACAGGCCTTGCAGGACTACAGGAGGCTGCAGGCCAAGGTGGAGAAGTATGAAGAAAAGGAAAAGACAGGACCAGTACTGGCCAAACTCCACCAGGTACTCGGGGAGAAGGGAGCAGTTGGGGCAGCCAACGGGAGGAGAAAGGGATGAACCAAAGGACCATTGCAGCAAGGGCCCCTTTGCCTGGGGACCAGCTGTCCCCACCCCCACCCATACATTTGCACCCTGCCCCCAGCACTGAGAGCCTTCACACCAGGGTCTTGTTCCCCAGGCCCGAGAAGAACTACGGCCTGTGCGGGATGACTTTGAGGCCAAGAACAAACAGCTCCTGGAAGAGATGCCACGGTTCTACGGCAGCCGCCTCGACTACTTCCAGCCCAGCTTTGAGTCGCTGATCCGAGCACAGGTGAGGCTGCCACTCCTCCTTGGGAGATAGTCTTGAGCTTAGTAGACATCCTCATGCTACCCTGTGTCCCTCTCCCCACTGCTGGAAGGGAGACTAAGCCATTCTCCACACAGCCCTGGAACTGGGCCTGTGCTGGGATGTGTTTGGCTTCCTCCTTTGCTCCTGGGTTAATCCCAGCTCTAGGGTAGACAAGGTTCCCCTTTAACTCATTCTTCACTTTTCTCCCTCTCACATTTAAGCTGGAAAAAAAAAAAGTATAGCATCTTTAGCCACCACTTTGAGCAGGATCTTGGATGGCTGGAGGATGTGGGATCCAGAGACCTGTAGGGTGAAGGCCTCTTTCTGATGACCCAACAGGAGTCTTCTTTAGCAGGAGTCCAAGGGTATTGACTTTGAACTTCTCACAGAAGGATCCAGGAGAGCCCTGATCAGGCTGTTACTTAGGCCACTAGGCATGATGCTCACCCTAATGGAAAGCCTGCAGGCCGCATGCTGGTGTCCCATTGCCACCCAGCTGTGCACTCAGGCCAGGCAGCCAGAGTGGGTACAGGACCAAGTCCTATGTCTCCTGCTGCTTAGGGATATAAGGACAGAGTGCAATGGTCATAGCTCCCACCTTCCCTATCCCATTCATCTTCAGACCTTTACCTGGGACTACTCTCCACCCCCACCCCACCCCCCGCTAGCAAGGTAGGAAAAGGTTGGGGTGCCAGAGCCAGGAGCAGGGCTCCTCCATGTGGGCCCTAGTTGATTCCAGGTGCCCCACTTCAGCCTCAGGACCCCAGCACCCTTCCCACTTTTCACCACCAAGCAAAAGACTTCCTGTACCCATCCACCGCCTGCCCACTTGTTTTTGGCTAAGCGTCTGGCGCCCTCCAATGGACATCATCATTCCCTGTCACTTCCACAGTCATAGGTGCCCCCAGAAAAGCCTACCTGATTTCCCACCTCCCAGCCTGCATTCAAAGCCATGGGGCCCAGTGTTTGGCATCAAAAAGCCTGAGCAGATATATATATCTGCTCAGATAGATATATATCCCCTACACATACATGGTCTGGTGAAATGGCTCAAGCAGTAGCGTGCCCAGCAAGCTCAAAGTTCAAACCCCGGTACTGCCAAAACCCAAAAAATATCCTGAGCTGGAATTGGGATTTGAATGTGACCCAAGTCCTCAGTCCCGTGCTGTCTAGGGGGCAGTGAGAGAGCCAGCAGCAGGAGAGGGGCTTCTTCCACCCTTGCCCATGAAGGTAAGGGCTGCCCTCCAGCAGTTGCACCCTCTGCCTGGTTGTCACCATACCATTCACCCCTAGTGACCTGTGTGCTGCCTTGTATTGCCTCCCCTACACACATCAGTTGCCAGAAGGAAGCTACAGGCTGCCAGGCTGGAGCCATTCAGGAGACTAGGGGTACCCTGTAACCAAGCAGCAGGATAGCCAGGGCTGTTTACTACCTGCTCTGTGCCAGCCTCCGCCTCACCCGGCTGCCATTAGTCACTGGAGAAGTGAGCTGAGCATTCCTGGTGACTCATCAGGCAGCACCCAGTTGGGGACCACCCCCCACTCTCCCAGTGCTCAGCCCAGTCGGAACCCCCACTCTCCCAATGCTCAGTCCAATTGGAACCCTGCTGGGGTGCCTGGGAGACTTCCTAAGATGCAACTCAGTGGCAGCCCTGCCACACAGATAACCTTCTCAGTACCATCACCAAATTCCGAGGATTGAAGGAGAGTCCTCCTCTAGACAGCTTGAAGCCAGGGTGTTTGAAGAGTGTGCAACTTTTATGAGAACACATACTTTCATTTGGTCACAAAGTGGAAACTGAGGCAGAAATGGCCCTTGCCCTCCTTTGGATAAACCTGTGGTCTTCAGCCATCTGGAGGAGTTACGAACCGGTCTCCTCTAAGCTGCCCACCACCAGCCTCTCCTCCCTGTGTTTCCCCCACTCCATGGCTGGTCCCTACATAGAACCATGGACATGGGCCAGGCCTTGGAACCACTCCTCTGTCTATGCAGCTAGTGGGACAGGAGTGGAAGGCTGGAAAGGTGTCACGTCCCTCTCTCACCTTTACAACTGACTCGCAAGGCTTTGGAGCTACCACCTCTGTAGTCTGTTTCTCTGTGGACAGAAGCTCTGGGCTTCTTGCCTTAGAAAACGCAGTGAACAGGAGCCACCCCCAAATACATAGCTTCCCTGCACATACCAGCTGTTGGAGGAACCAGGGGTTCAAAGGGCAGCACCTCTACCCCCAGACCCCTGCTGCCCTGTGGTCTTGGCTATAACGTACCCTTTTCTGGGCTGCCAGGTGATTCAGGGAAATGAGGTGAGGGGAGGGAGGGGGTGGAGGAATAAGTGGGAACAGCCCCCTTCAGCCAACCTACAGGCCCAAGGGTCCAGGCCTGTCCCTGCTTATGCTCCTGGGCCTGGTGGGTGCAGCAGCTGTGCACCGACAATTCTTGCCTCCCAACCAGGTAGTATACTACTCGGAAATGCACAAGATCTTTGGAGATCTGACCCAGCAGCTGGACCAGCCAGGCCACTCAGATGAGCAGCGGGAGCGAGAGAATGAGGCCAAACTGAGCGAGCTCCGAGCCCTCTCCATCGTAGCGATGACTAAGCTGGAAGCCCTCACAAGTCCTGGGGTGCCCTGGGGCACACACATCCTCTCATCTTTGTCCTTAGCAGGCGTGAATTCATGCTTCTTTTACCCACTGACCAGCAGGTTGGCGACAGAGGTGGCCCCTGCTCTACCTCGCCAGCCCTTTGACCGAGTGTCTCCATTTCCTGAACCTGGCACCAGGAGCCCCAAACAAGCGCCATGTCCCAACCCCAGCCCCAGGGGCTTTTTTACCGTCCAGATTATGCCATGGTCTTGGGCCAAAGCAAGCTTGAGCACTTGGAGGGGTCTGGGTTTCCTCAGTGAGTTGAAGGTCTTAAGACCTGCTTTCACCGTGGGGACTGAATCTACCTCCAACCTGGGGAGCCCTCTGGCCCCTCCGGCCTCTTGGTCCCCAGACTTGTGTTCCTGGATGAGCCAAAGACATGCCCTGGAAGTGGCTGGAAAGCTGTGGTTCTCCAACCCCAGCAGATCTCTCACTCTAGCACCACAGGCTAGTTCTGTGCCGGTCAACCACAGGGACAAGCCCTAGGTAACTAACTGGGACTCAGTGCTCATCCTGCAACACAGAATGTCAAGGCCTCAAAGCAAGAATAGTGGATTTGTGGGTCACCTGGATGTTTGGAATTTTATTTTTTCAACTAAAGTTTCCAGTAAAATGTCTAACTAGTGTGCTGTAACTTATGGCAAAGGGAGAGCCACCGTGGCTTTGCAGGGTCTTGCCAGCTTGACAGAGGGCCTTCACTCAGTGGCAGCCAGAGGTGGCCCAGAGTGTGAAGGCTCAGACTTCCCACGGCCTGCCCACCTTCTTGAGAGAACAGCCGGCAGACAGACGCTTGGGCGGGGACAGGCGGGCACAAGCAGCCTGGAAGAGGAGCAGGGAGAGCTACAAGGACACACTTGATTTGTTTTTGACTTTGGTTTATTTAAAAAACAAAAAGCCAAAAAAAAAAAAAAAAAAAAAACTTTATGTACAAAGTCAAACCGAAACCACGGATTATGGAAAGAGGCAAGAATTATAGGTAACGGGGGAAAAAAGGCTGGGCCAAAGCCAATACCACATTCTGAACACAGGAGCCGGGGAAAGGAGGTGCTGGTTTGTTCTGGCAAGCCTGGGGTGGCTGGAACACAGTATTCTTTCTGTTGGCAACCTTGACCCAACTCTGAGAGCTTTCTAGAATGGGCTCCATTCCCACAGCGGCCACCACAGCCCCCCAAGAGTCGGCACCTGGAACCTACAGGATTTGTGCATCCAGAGGAAAGGGTTTCTTAGCTCCCACGAGACTCCATGTCTCCTCCTTCAATTTATTGGCATCAGACCTTGTCACAGGCTCAAAAGGCCTTTCCCTCCCCTGTCTTACTCTAAACTGGAAGAGGACAGGAGACAGCACAAGACTACAAGGGCCCCGGGAGAAATTCCAAGGTTGAGGGCAAAATGACATTCTAGGGGTGCAATAGATGTTGTATTTAGTTGTAGCTGGGACTGTGATTCCTCACACATCCATCCACATAGCACAGACCACCCTGATGGCTTGACGTCCCCTGCAGAGGCTGAGCACAGGGCTCAGCCACCCTTGCCTGTGGCTCCCAGGCCCTGTTCCAGCTCTTTCTGGTACCAAAAGGGCTCTAACATCATCAGGCTCCATCGCTGGCCTCACAGAATGGCCGCTCCTGGGTGAGACCCCTCAGTTGCTGGGTGCTGGCTCCTCCTTCTCTACCCAGCTGTCAGCCTGTTAGCAAATGTAAGAAGGATGAGGTCTCCAAGGCCATCTGAGGACAGTTCCCCTCTTCCTGCCTTGAACCTCAGAGCTGCAGTTAAGCTACTGGTGGCTAGTTCCCTAAGAAACTAGAGGATGGAGGATGGAAGTGACAACCTGGGCAGGGCAAGAAGGGGGGCCAGCCTGCTGGCTACAACCCCTAAGCCATTCTCCACGTGGTGACTCACCCTCTACTGGGGCTCTTGGAGCCTCACCAAAAGGAGCTGCAGTCCCCATCACCACCACTCACCTTTTCAACCATCCGCTGCACCTCAAGCTGCAGTGGGGTCAAGCGCCTGCGGAAGTCCTGCAGCAGCCGCTGAAGCTGATTCTTCTGCCTTTCAGCTGCCCGGGCCATTTCCTCTGCCTCTGCCAGCCGGGCTCGCAGCTCCTGCATCTCTGCTGCCAGTGTCTTATTTGTCACTTCAGTAGCTGAGAAACGGTTATGGCTCTCCTCTGCAAGGTGAGGGAGGACATACCAGAAAGACTGCTGGTATGTCAAGGACAGGACCACAAGGCAAGAGCTCTCATGTCCCACCAATGCCAGGTCCTGCAGCCTCAGGTCACTCACCTAGCTTCAGTTCCAGTGTGTGAATCTTGTTTTCCAGGTAGAGCCGGCCACTGTCCTGCTGTTCTGCACGTTGCAGCAGGCTCCCCACATTGATCAGGCTGCCGTTGTGAGGCACCAGACCTTTGTGTTCCATGGGGGCAGTACCTGGCTTTGCACTCTTCCCAGAAGGAGGCAACAGGTCCAGGTTTCCTAGAACGGGCAGTGAAAAGGCCTGAAGAGGAGAAGCAGCCTACCAAAGCCCTGCCCTCCGTCAGCTGCAGAACCCAGGACATACCAATGAGCACCTCCTCAGGAAGCCCACCATCTGCCACCTCCGGACGGCTATACTGTAGGCTCCGGTACTGGCAAATGTTCTGTGTCACCACCCTGCTGACCAGCTGCTTAGCCTACAGGAAAGCCAGACACCCGTTGGTCAAGGCCTGCTCCAAGAAGAGCCAAGGACCCAGAAAGAACTCAGCGCAGGCCTGTGTCCATGTCATGACAAGCATCCAGAAAAGATGATGGGACAAGAAAGGAACTACCTGCTCAGCACTGAGCCGGATTCCCAGTGTGAGGAGGACCCTCTCCAAATCTCGCCGGTGCAAGTAGCCACACCAGTTGGCATCAAAGAACACAAAAGCCAGAAGACAGTCCAAAGGGAGCACGGCTGAGGGTTCCAGTTCCTTAGGCTGTGAAGGAAGCAGAGGAGCAGGCTTTACACAGTTCTCTAACAATCCAGGACACACACAGCCCCTTCACTGGAGCAGCTGGGCTGATAGCATCAAGCAGTCCCTATAGCTTGAGACCCTGGGCCAGGGTTTCAGGCCTCTGTGAGCACCTTCCCAGAGGAACCTAATGTGGCTCCCAGATCAACATCCCTCTCTCCAATCAACCCCGATGAAGAATGAAATGGTCTCACTGAACCAAGAACTGCATTTGGTCTCTTGTAGAGGAAAGAAATCACTGGCAAGCATCCACTGACAGAGTCATGTTTCCCACCACTGAGGTACAGCAAGAGGGCTCACCATGTCCTGAAGGGAGGAGAATTCCATCTCTGACTGATTTGAGGCAACAGACCGGACCTCTGAGTCCTCCAGCTTTGCTCCTGCTACAGAAATCCCAAACTAAACATGGATCAGGGACTATGGCAGTTCATACTTCTCCACTGCCCTAAGAGGAAACCATTACAGCCAAACCCAGAGCTGCCACCCAGTCACCACCAGACACACCAAACTCCTCTTCTCCATCATCCCTCAGAAGCAGCAACTCTGGGTCCAGGGCAATCTCACACAGGTCCTCAGCTGCCTCACCCCGGGGCTTCTCTTCCTCCTCTCCCCCAGAAGAGGGAGGTTTGGACAGAAGTCCATCTTCCTTCTAGAAAAGCAGATAGAGGTGATAAGGAGAAAGCATGGCTCTTATGATGCCAACAATCATAATGGCTAGCATTAGAGTATCAGCTGTGTGCCAGGCACTGTGTTACCCACTGCATGTTTTGTGGGTCTTTAGCCCCACAGGATTCAGAGCATGCCAGAGGCATGTCTAGACAGCTGAGGTTTGTCCAGAAGTCAATTTCAGTTCCAGAAGAAATTTTGTCTACTTGCTAGTATTCAGGCAAGAAGGAGATTCATGTTTTAGAAATGGTTTTCTAAAAATCTGTCTAGGGCTAGAGGCGTGGCTTAAGTGGTAGAGTGCTTGCCTCACAAGCCCTGAGTTCAAAGCCCAGTACCACCAGAAAGAAAGAAAGGGAGGGAAGAGGAGGAAAGGAAGGGAAGAAGGAAAGAAAAAGAAATTTAGTTATCTAGCTAAGTACCAGGCAACCCCACACTTCTACCTCCCAAGCATTCTCACTGATTGACATTTCTGTGCTTCCTTCCACTCTTCTGGGTCAGCTTTCTTGCCCTGCGCACCCACTTCCTAGCCATGTGACCAAATGAAAGCGACTCATATCCCTGGGCCTCAGTCCATCCCTGGCTTCCATGGAGTGGGCAGCATGAGGGGAACAAGTGAGACAGGACATGGAAAGTGTGACAGTGCCTGGCACAAGTGAGGGACTCAGATCATGCTAAGCATTATTATGTGTGGTCTTCAGGCCAACCCAGGGGTGACAAAGGTACTCACCAGTGGGGTGTCTGACTCAGCAGCTGTGCCCTCATTCTGTACCTCATCCTTGGATTCCTTGGCCACCTCCTCTTTGATGGTCTCCTCCTCTTTGACTACTTCCTCCTTTGCTACTTCCTCCTTCTCAGGTTCAGGGGGGGACATGACCTTTTCAGGAAGGCTCAGCAGCATCTTATAAATCCTATAACCAAAATCCCTCTGCAGCATCTCCAAAAACAGCTCAGCCAGCACCATCACCTGTTGGAAGAAGTGGCAGGGGCCCATGAACATCAGGGAAAAAGAGTATGCCACACTCCACTGTGCCCCGAGGCCCATTCATGACCTCCTGGGGACCCCTACACCTGCCTCAAAAGATATCCTTTCTTTTGGCCTCCGATCCTCCACAATCGTATGGAGGGACAGGTTTACACAGCCAGGACGTGCCATGACAGCAGGTTCCAGAGGGGGCGGGGGGGCCTCTGGGAGATCAGTGTCCACTTCCTGCTGTGTGGTGGCCTCTGGAGCCTCAGCATTCTGTTTAGAAGTATCGGCTGCTTGCTCCACCACATCAGTGGCCTGTTCAGTAGGCTCTGCTTCCTGTGACAACAACTGAGATGTGACCCTCCAGGTCCCAGGGTCAGGGCACCTACTTTCCCCAAGTCCTCCCAAGGCTCAGCCTTACCCCTGATGCCTCCTGGGGTGGGAGAGCTGCCTCTGCGGCTTTCTGCTGGCACAGGGTCTCCCACTCCTCCAAAGTAGGCATGATGGTCCAGACGTCTGGCAGATACACCACCACCGTGTGCAACCGCCGGGGCGGCCCTGGCTGTAGGTACTGAAACTCGGCAAAGCGCCACCTGCTCACAGCAGAAGGGAAAAGGAAGTCCTAAGCCGTGACACGTTCACACAGGCACCACACACACAGAGAAGTGCCTCCGTTTCCAATGAGCACTCAATGAGTACATGCCACATGCCAAGCTGTGAGAATGCAAACATAAAAGCAAGGCCTCAAGAACCAGGCAGCAGGGAGACTCAGTAAGCAGACAGCAACTGTACGAATGCTAAGGCAACATGGAGTGCAGAGCATGGCTTGAGGGTCAGCTGGTCTTCAGCAGCCCACAGCCCTAGTCATGCTCAGGGCTCAGATGTCCATCTGTGAGCAGCTAGGGGCGGGGAGGCATGAGGTGTAACTGCGCACACAGGAGAGCTGCAGGCCAGAGGCCAGGCCTCCTGAATGCTCCCCACAGCGAGCTGGCCACACAGGGAAGGCCACTCACCACTTGGTGCAGGTGCTCAAGTCAATGCCGGTCTGGGCTTGTGCACAGCGGATGGCTGTGCGCACCAGCACCTGCGGGTCGGCCTGGGGGTCGAGGCCATCCAGAGAAGGAGACCACTCACCCCCAACCAGCACTGCCTCTTCTTCCTTCCGGCCCAACAAAAACTGCAGAAAGATTGGGGATAACAGAAGACCCACATTGCCTGCATCTCCC